CTGTCGACAAGACGGCTGGACCGGACGCTGCCCCGCCTGAGATGCCGTCGGGGCCGGCTTGCGATCTGGAGACACCGGAGACGTACGCGCAGGCGCGAGCGGGCCCGCACAACCACATCCGGGCGGAGGCGGAGCGCAAGGAGTTTGCTGGGCTGCGATCTGTGGCACTTTCGTGGAGCACGGGGGGATCTAGCAACGAGGAACGAACGTCATTTCGGCCAAGTGGGTGTATTCGTGGGAGGTTGACAAACTCGGTCATGCTGTGAGTGCAAAGGCTAGATTAGTTGCTCGGGGGTGGGGGAAGCGTGGTGGTATTGACTTCTTCGAGACTCTTTCCTCGTGTCCGTTTATCACTAGCATTCGGATGTTGGCTACAGTTGCGTGTGTGTTGAGGTGGGACCTGTGTCATTTTGATGCTGAGCAGGCGCTCGTTCAGTCGAAGTTGGATGAGGATGTGTTCGTTCGTCTCCCCCAGGGTTGTGGTGCACTTTCTGGGTGGTGAAGCTGGGGCTAAGTCTGTATGGGTTGCATCAGGCTTCGCGTACGTGGCACAAACACGTGATGCGTGGCATGCAGCGTCTTGGGTTTGAGTCATGCGCTGCCGATGCGTGTGATGCGTCTAATTGAGGATGGTGTGGTGACTATGGTGGTTGTGATGCACGTAGATGGCATATTTCTATCGGGCGTAAGAGCCGGTGAGACCTCAACCGATTTATTCCCATCTCAAACCTTGGTGAACTGCGCTGGTGCTCGGGTTGCCGTTTTTCTCGTGACGCGGTTTTAGGCACGGTGACTATTTCGCAGCAGGCTGAAGCAGAGAAGACTGTTTCCAGCTTTGGCGTTACGCAGAACAAGGAGACAACCATGGTCGTTGGTTTAAAGCTTGGGGAGTTTGACGCTGAAGAACCCGACGTGAAAGAGCCATTTCGGTCGTTGGTAGGACACTTGAAGTAGCTGGCGAACCAGACTCGCCCGGATATTGTCAACGGTACGGGCGTTTGCGAGGTATACCCAGACGACGAAACGGTTGCACTGGCAAGCGGTGCTGCATATTTTGATGCACGTTCGATATACTTTTCAGCGGTGCGTGGATGGGGGTGAGCGCATGGGGCTTTTTTTCGATTCGGATTTCGCCAACAAGGCCACCGACCGACGGGCTGTTTCTGGTGCATTGGTGATGATTGCGGGGGCATGTGTGATGTATTCGTCTAGGGCGCAGAGGAGCGTTACCCTGTCCTCGACGGAGACCGAGTATGTCGCTCTGTCGGATGGGATGGAAGGAGGCTATTTTTTTGCGGTACGCGTGGAGTTTTATTTTTCCGGACCCGGACGTGGGGTGTACTTTGGTTCACCAGGATAGTGTCGGGGCTATCAACTTGGCGAGCAACCCTGCTGCTACCCCGAACTCGAAGCACATCGACATTCGACACCATTTTGTCCGAGAGCGTGTAGCGCGGGGGGAATTTCGGGTACATCATGTGCGATCAGACCTTCAACGAGTGGATTTTCTGACCACCACCGCTGTCCAAAGAAAATTTTTGCGCCCACTCCAATTTCGTGACGAATCTGCGCTGATTTTATTTTGCGTTAACTTTATTTCCTCCCATTTCCAGCTGCAGGGCGGCTGGGTATCGTTCGTTGTAGTTTATTTGTTTCTTTCTTGCGTAATTGTGTTTAGCGGGGGGGGGCATTCCCAGGAAATATTGCTGGCGGGTATTGATAGGACCGCGTTGCGTACCCTATTTGGTATGATACGATACTCTTCTGTGTTTTTCTGACAGCCCGTTTCATCTGTCGTTGTTTTTTGGCTTTCAGCTATGCATCGGTGGGTTGGAAGTATTAGGTACGCAAAATTCTTGGACGTTGTGCAGAATCACTGCTGGTTGCACTGCCATCGACAATCACGGGGAGGGGGGTGTCTTCCCATGATCCCCGCTGCTGTACAACAAGCAAGTTTTGGCGTTACATGGGTTGATGTTTGATCCTTGGATTTTGCTTCTTGTGCCTCAAGCATGTTGCCTTGAAGGTCTTGGTTTGCTCGTTCATTTTGGAGGCAGGAAGTCCCGGCAGGGGGGCGGTTGAATATCGGTTCATGTTTAGTATCTGCAGTAAGTCGCACCTCTTGCTGACGACGTTGACCATTCCGTCCCTTGCGTGTTGGGCACAGAACTGTCCCCTTTTGGTGCCGGCGGTCCCAAACAAGGGCTGCTTGGTGCAACCTTGGTGGCCGCACTTCCTGTTGACGACGTTTATCATTCCGGTCTTCATGTGTCGGGAGCAGTACTCCCCGCGCTTCGACGTGGGAGCAGCGAAGCTTGGAGTAGTCGTGCAAGTTGGGTGCCCACATTTCTTGCTGACGACATTGATCATACCCGGTTTCGCATGTTGACTGCATAACTCCGGCCGTTTGCCAGCCTCTCCAAATAGGCACTGCTTAGCGCAACCGTCGTGGCCACATCGCTTGATGAGAACGTTGATCATCTGGGCCTGTGCGTGCTGCACACAAAAAATTGCCTTTTTAGTTCCACGTTCTCCAAAGGACGGGTGCTTGGTACAGGTCGGGTGGGCGCACCGCTTGTTGAGGATATCCCTCATCCCAGGTTTCGAATGCTTCGCGCAGAACTCTGGCTTTTTGCTACCTTCGTTGCCGTAGGTGGAGGTCTTGGTGCATCCTTCCTGCCCACACTCTCTCACCATCCTTGCCGTCACTCCGTGCACGGTGTGCGTCGATCTATCCCGGGTCCAGTGGGCCACATGCACGCCGCGCGAGAGAGGGTGGGGGAAAGACAGCGACAGCTTTCAGAGACAAGAGGTATGTAGGGAGTAGCGCGAGAGAGAGATAGTGAACATCAAGATTAGAACAAGCGGAAAAAGGGCCGGTTTTCTTTTCATGGTTCCGTGCTTTCAATCGGGGAAATTCAAATCTGGGTTCTAATTGGAACGGGCCTTATATCGGGCCAGGTCGGTGCCAAGCGATTTCACTGGCCTTGGAATGAGCCGCAGAGCGCAAAAAACGCGACCGTTCTTTTACCTCCGTCCGAGGAGGGAAAACACAAGCTTTGCCTACCAGGGGCCCAAGTACCAGGCGCCCAAGTGTCAATAGACGACCGCCTGAATTTTCCATCCTTTTCGACCAGCACGAGATCTAAAGAGCACCGATTGACGATCTGCTGGCATGCGAGGAACAAGAAAAATAGGGCGCTCTTCACTACACCGGTTTGCTCGTGCCCCGATAGCAGATGGTCGTGCCTCACCGGCAATTGTACCCAGCAACCATTGGAGATTGTTACCCCCATCCCCGCAGAGTTACAGAGAAAATGCCAGCCAACGCATCGTGAACTTCCCACCCAGACACACGCGGTTGCTTGGGCCACACCAGGAAAACAGAAGAAGCACTCAGCGAAACACGCAACACGGCCGGGATTACCAATACAGCACTGGCGGGGGAAGGGAGCCACGCTCAGAGCTAGTGGCGGATGCCATTGTCATTGCTGTTGCTAAGTTAGGTGTGTTTTGAGAGTAACAACCTGGGTGATGGGGAAAAATATGATCCCAGCAGACGCGGCGTTTTTTTTCGGGCTGTCCCACACTCCCCGACTCACAAATTCTGAGCGTCCTCGATACTCCTGGTCTGTATCAATAACCACACAAGACGGAGCATGGACACAGCTCGTGGCGGATACCTTCGCTATTGCTGTTGCTTCGGTGTGCCGGGAGAGGGGTCACCTTCAAACAAAATGCTGTGCCATGGGAACAAAATGCTCAAGAAGAAGAGCCTCCTTTTTTGGCGGGATGTTTTTTCTCGCATGCATGCACTGCTGTGCCGCCTATCGCCTCCTCCAACTTCCGTAGGGCCTATGGTCCCCGTGGCCTCTATCAGCCGCCACACAAGACGTGTCATAAACAGAGGTCGCGGGGAATAGCTTTACAAGTGCTGCTACGACACTCTGCGCAGAGAAACCACCGAAAGACCAAATCAATATGGAACGCACGTATGGTACACAGCAGGTCTTCTACCGTCGGTGACATAACATAAGATACCACCCGCACCCCCTGTTTTTAAGCTCGAGTATTCCATGACGAAGAGGATGCGTAAACCCAGCGAAACGTTGTCGGAAAGCTGTCGACGAGACGGTTCCCACACCACCATTTTCGGCACCGCCACTCTTTGTGGTGTGGATAAACCGAGCTCTGGAAGTTAGTCCAGGGTGTGGTACCACGACGGCCGTTACAGAGCCTCTTTTCATGTTGTTGTTGATGATGACGCGGATTCAAAATTCAACGATCGGGTGCACTCGCCACGGCAAAAATCATCGCAGATAGACTACTGCAAGGTATTGAGTCTGCTACCCTGCCGCTTGATACCCTGCCCTATCTACAGTAGTATCGGGCAGGCGGTCTTATTCATGCGGCTTTGTATCGGGCCCTCACTGCCTGTACGCGACAACATGTGGCCCGCTCTGCAGGCCATCGCATTTGGGTAGTCTCTCTGTGTGTGTATTTACTTTTTCTTAATTATACAGTGCGAGCTGAGGCCAGAAGCGCTTCATCACAACAACTACAGGCGACGTTGCAGCATCGATGATCAAGCTACTGCCCTGTGGCTACCGTCTACCTGCTGTCTGCAATCGTTGTTCTCCACGAGATACGCATATGTACAGCAGCATCAACCGGCTGTATTTCGGTAGGGCGTACAGACAGAACGCTCGGCCAAACCTGATAGAAGAACAGCGATGTGATTTCGGAATCCGTGTTAACCCTGACGAGGAACGGGCGGAGAAATTGTTCGAGGAAGGTTGTAGGGAGGCGTACACACGTACACACACGGCAGCGGCAGCAGCAGCAACGCAGCACGCGGCAGCAAGGAGCAGCGAGAGAAGATCCCATCTGCCGCGACCCCGTTTGTTGTTTGCTGTTTGTGTTGGACCCTCAAGCACAAAAAAAAATGAAATCCCGGGGCCGTGGTCGATATTTCCCCAGGGCAACACAGCTCACAACAGCTCACGACAAATAACGTCCCTTTTCTCCGCCCCGATCATTGGACGCCACGGAGACAAACGCCGCAGCGAACCAAACATCGCCTCCACCTGCTCTCTCCCTTCTGTTTCCCTCTCTTCCTATTTCTCTCTCTCTGATATCCGTAAGTACACAGTAGCAATCAAGACAAGATAGCCACGGTCGGCGAGAGCGGCGGACGCGAGACATGAAAAACCAGCCTTTTCTCAACGATCCTGCTGCCTACCCAGAGTTCTCCCTCCTCATCAAGCGCCAGAGCCTGCAGCACGCGATACGACAGACCCTCCATCGGCAAAGGTGAGGGGTTCCGGCTTTTCTGCATCAATGTGCAACGCCTATTCCACCGAACCTCACCAGCTCACCTACACATACTGCTTGTAGTCTGCACAAGATTGTTGATGTGGCGAGTTTCTCCGCACTTTAGATATGTGGTCCGCTTGGGCATCCTTGTGCTCATTTCTGGTACGTTTCACGGACCCACACGTCGTTGGTTTCCTAACAACTGTTGCGAGCACACCTGTTCTGCCTTTACAGACGTGATTCTCTAGCGCATTTTGTTTTAGGTCGAGATGCAGATTATTTTTCCAACTTTACAATACCCCCAACCTTCAACGACGTGTTCTAAGCCATCATCATGAAAGGTGTAGAGGGTCCTTCCATACATAGCGCTTCGCACCTCCAAAATGATTGCAGTGTGTTGAAGAAGCCAAAAGGTCGATAAGTCGCGAGTTGTCCGTGTACTCCGCACTCACAGAATGCCGTTCGAATCCATTGTCTAGATCAGGCATTCAACAATTTCCAATTTCGCCGAGGGGGAACATGTCAGCATTGACACCTTGGCAGCTGCAGCGCATAAATGGGGCGTCAAACCACACAGAGATAGGCTGGAGATACAAATACATAAATGTATTGTGGGAAGGTCGGAGTCTTTGTAGCTGCAGTCTTGGTCAGGGAAGCTTGAAACTTGATAGGGCCCTTCGGAAGGGCATCCGGCAGTGGCGTTGTGACTCTCTCAGACATCCGTCGCTTGGCCATCTCCCGCCTTCATGCTGCCGTATGTACCGATGCGATCGGGGTCGGGTTAAGCGGCGGTATGGCTGGATTACTTCGTCCATGGCATCAGCTAAGATTCAGTTCTAGTCGGAAGCACTCGTCAATTGCAAGAACAACGGCGGTGTTGTCTATACTAGCCTGTTCAGTTGACTTGCAAACCCATCAGCGGCCTTCTTTCCGCCACGAACACTTTCCTTCCTGCGGATCGTCTCAAGCTCGTTCTGTAGGGTGTTGGCTTGCCGGCGAACACATATAATCGGATGTTACGAGAGTTATCGACACAGCTGGGTTTGGACGAACAATACTCCTCTGGAGGGGTGTCCCGGGCTACGTAACGTAACGTACCGTGCCCTTACAGTCCTCGCAATTCATGCGTCAGGACAGAGACCTGGAGTTTGTGTGTCCCGCCGAGCTGGGGTGCCGGTTCCTAGCATTTACAATACGAGGGGGGGGGGGGGGGGTAATCTTATGTTTTGCATGCCTTCGCGGTTAGACCATTGACCACGCGTCCTTGAGAGGACGGAGCATTGTTCCCAAAGGACCGATAACCGATGGCCAATCGTTCCTTCCTACTTTGCCAAAGGTGGCTCAGAAATGTCGTCCCTAGTCTATCTATCCTAACGATACCCCTTCCCTCCTTTTCAACCCACGTCCTACTCCCCAGTACAGCTTCCGTCCTCTCCTCTCTATTCCATGCCTCAAACGTCTCCCTGTACCTCCCTTGTATTTTTCCCAGCTCAGTCATGTACACTTCTCTCTCCTTTTCATACAACTGACATTCCGCGACTACGTGAACACGGTCTTCGCATTCGAAGCCGCAATCACATTTGAACTTGTCGTCTTCGTCGTCTACCGTCCTATGTGTTCGTCGACGTTCTCGAAGGCCTATGTCTCCGGTCCTGAATTTGACCTTGAGCTTTGTCCCTGCATCCATTGGTCCATGTATGTAACCCTTGAACTCAATTCCTTCTTTCAACATTCCGTACACTTCTAGACCCTCCTTATCCTTGGTTTCTTTCCTTAGATTCTGTTATTCTCTCTCGGCACAAGCAACAGATATCTTCTCCTTGAACCCCAGTAGACCCTCCGTTCCCAGCGTTTCATCTTCGTCGATTTCGAACCCCTTCCATACGTCCTCTACAACCTTGACCCATTCCGTGGGATGTCTACCCCTCTTTTTGCTTGCCACTTCGCCTCCCATACTATTCTCAGCAACCTCTCCTCTCCCGTCCCGCACATGCGATACTGCCATGTCAGCTTCCGTGCGTCTCTTCCCGACCGTAGGGATTGGATCCCCAGTTCTGCCCTGACGGCTGCATTTCTTGTGCACTTGGAGCATCCTAGGATGATTTTCGCTGCTTTCATCTGCGCCGCCTCGAGTTCTTTCACGACCTTCTTATTTCCTTCCCATACGTCGCGTACTCTACCGGCGGTACGACTACGCTCTTCAAAACCGTCAATTTGATGCGTGTATCGAGGTGCCGGTTTGCGAGTATTGGGGGCAGCTTCCTTGCTCGTGCTTTGCCCTTTTCCGGTACCTTGGACTCGTGTGCATTCCACGAGCAGTCTTTTGCGATCTCTACTCCGAGGTACATGTATGTGTACTGGTCCACTGCTGCAATCTCCTCGATCCCCCACTTCCATCTGTATTCTACTGGTTCCTCCCTGTCCTCGTTGCATACCATGACGGCACTCTTCTTAACGTTGGCAGACAATCTCCGCTTATCATCAAACTTCTTCGCCGCGTCAATTTGCAGTTGCAGTTCCTCAGGGGTGTCCGACATACCAAAAAAATCATCCGCACACAGCATTCCCGACACCGAAGTTTCCGTGTCCCCTACTTTTACTCCCTTCCGGACTGCCTCTAGGACTTCCAACAGGTCGTTGATGAACACCTGGAACAATGTGAGGGTACGATACGAGGGGGGCGGGTGAATCTTTCACCTCAAGCTCTCCTAGCGTGGTACCAGTATTTTTCGTACGTGGAGGGAGCCCTGAGTGTGGCACCGCTGATTGTGCGAGCGTGCTGATGGGAAGGGCCCTTACCCACGCTGAAAATCGCTTCAACACTATGAGTTGTTTTACATTTGTAGCCTTCTAAGTGATTGATGCCTGCATCCGTCTTTCGACCGCTCCAAACTCCCTCTGGCTCCAAACTCCCTCTGTCAGGACGAGTGCTCTGCTTGTCGTAGTGGCGATGTCCATCGCGGCCTCGGGTGCAGACGGCAGCGGTGGCAGCAGCAGCAGCGCGGAGTGGGGGGTGTACCTCGCCAAAGGCATGCACCTTGCACTCCTCCAGAAGCACTTTGGGGGCATGGTGTCAGCGCTGGGATGCATGTACGTGGGGCAAAGATGAAATCGTTTTCTTTCATGGGCCTGCTTCGCTGTATTGCCGACGGTTATGCCTATGTCCAACCATACTTCCGTCTACAGTACCATTGGTGATGGAGATTGGAAATGGCAACACCTTACGGCAACAAGCGTACCCCGCGATTCCAGCCGACGTACACTGTACGTTTTCGCTATCTTGCAGTGGAGAAGTCATCCATGAGGTGTATCTCGATAGGCACCAGTTTTAGGCGTACCCCCTCCGAGCTCAAACCTTCATATGTACGAAGTAAAAGGAGCATCAGTAGGAACACACGTATGTCGGTGATGTCTCTGTCAGGGCCAGGAACATTGGCCGGTCGGTTTCGAAAGGCATGAATGTTCATCATCGTGAAGTGAGCAAGCGCTACCCCGGAGAGTTGCGTGATCATTTTCCCTACGACTTCGATCCGCATGCATGTGCTACATCACCTCAAAACCGGAACAATCGTTTATTGTGTTTGACAAACTGCTGTATGGCGTGCATGAAACAGGGTGATGGGGACCGTAACGTCGTTCTTGGTGTACCCCATCTACCAGCGGTGTTCTCCAGCGGCCATTCAGAATCCAAGAGGTGCGCAGAAGGGAAAAACGCTTCGTCGGTTCAGAGTTTTCAGGCTTGTGCATCAAACGTCGAAACAATCCCGACAGTGTGCTCGTGACTGCCGTGGTAGAGTAGTGGATGCCACTCTTGGGGCGCTACTAATACATGGTTGTTTTCCCAGAGAAAAGTCTACATTTTGTACCAAAATCTTTGATTCAAGCATAAAACGGAACCGCGCCGCTAGTAGGGGCTGCCGAGAAACCAATGGCCATAGAAACGTTTGAAGCGTGTTCTCCAGGGAGTTGACGAAGGGCGCGAGAGTAGTGAGTTGAGGGATGCGCCAGTGGCGAGAAGTCGGTACGAAAACGGTCGGGGTTCACTTGCGCTCTATTTTTCACGTCGAGTTCCGACTCGAAAATATCAACACCGAAACTGCTCCGGCCACCACTCCCCCGCCAAACTCTCGGTACTCTGGCATCCCATAGCCGACACACTTGCCGTTCCCTCCGTTAGGAAACTGAAGCACACGCCCCGAAACGGCGTCCGTCACGGTTTTGTGCCCGTGTGGTCTGCGGCACTATCTCGTGTTGTGTACACGGAAGATACTTTTCCCTAGCGAGACATACCCCTTGTACGTTGATGGGGGTGTCACTATTTGGATAAAACCATGTGTCCGAGACCAATTTTCCGGCTGCATAAGAATCGACCGCATCCACGGTAATGCGGATGTGCCCGTTCGAGAAGGAGTTTCGAGAGCAGATCGGAGTTTGCCCCCAACTAGGACCTGGGTCCATCAGGTTGTTCTTGGACATCGAACCGGTGTCAGCTGAGAGGGATGCACGCCATTTTCTCATCGACTCCCAGACCTACACGCCTTTTCTCTTTGCCTCGGTGAACAGTCGTAGTACAGAGTGAGGTGTTTGGTCCCAGAGAGTTCACCTCTTTCCGGTGGTGCCCACGTTTCGGTGTCGAGGGGATTCAGAACCAGAACGTTGCGGGCGATCACCGAGATTTATAGCATTGTGCTCTGTGCGTGACTTTGAGTTTGGCCACAACAGAGACCGGACGCCAATCAACAGCCAACGAGCTAGAACTCGGCTGTTGAATCTTTCCAGGGATAACCTTTGGGGGTAATTTGGCTTCTCTCTACTTGCTCTCCAGATGGTCTCATGGCGTTCGCTGCCCGAAATGGACGATTATCTCGGTAGACAAGAGTGCAAACGACGCGCAAATATTGTTCTTCCGTCACCGTGCTCTACTTGAAGCTGCTTGCAGAAAGCACCTTGCGTAACCCCTAGTTTGTCTATTGTTGTACTCAAGCCTTGGTAGGAAACGTGGGTGCCGGGATAAACGTGACCCCCTCTCGCCTCCCTCCCCCCATGGTGACACTCGTGCAGCCCTTCCGTGTCGGCGAGTGTCTAGCACAACAGCCAAGACGATCGCCGCCGCCGTTCCGTCGATGGCCGTGTGGGCCATCGCGGTGTACGCGGCCGGGGTTTACCGCTGGGGCATCGCTTCGGGGCTATGCGTCGGCCTGCAGTGCGCCGCTCTTACGCTCAAGTCGGTGTCGTTCGTGCAGAAGGCTCGCCCTGTCGCCGCTGAAGCAGCGATCGCCGTGGCGGCGGCGCATGAAGACCTTGATGCGGCAGGGGTGGCAGAAAACGCAGACGAGGGCGACCGCGCAGCGGCTGCGAGCGGAAAATTAGCAATTTCTCCTGCACGTAGAAGTGTTCTTCAACGGGATCCTAGGTCAAATTCACCAAGCTCAACGGCGAACGGCGACGACGGTTGCGCCCACGCGGCCAACCCCGCCCTCACCTTCCGAGAGTTCGCGTTCTTCCTCGTGCTGGCCCCGTCCCTGGTGTGTCGGCCGCAGTACCTCAAGTCGGGGGCTCGAAGGCCACCTCGCGTCGCCGCCGCCGCCTCCGAGTTCTTGCACGCGGGTCTCACCTACGTCGCGGTGCACGTGGCCTGCTCGGCCCTGTTCGCCCCGGCGCTGCGCGTCCTGGCGGAAGCCCTGCACTCTGGGGGCGTCGCCGGCTGGGCGGACGAGGAGGACTGGGCGGAGTTGCGCCGCACCGATGGCAGCGGGTGGTGGTTGCACGACAGCAGCAGGAGCATCGGCTCGCTCTTTGCGAGCGGCGGAGGAAGTTGCGTGGGTGGGGGGGTTGGTTGTGTCCCCGGGTGGACCTTTGCCGACGACGGGACGGGTCATCCGGGCTTGACGGTGGCCATCGCCGCGTGTCTCGGTGTGTTCGTCTTCTCGCCGATGATGCACTTCTTGATGTTCTACGCCTTCTTCCACTCGGTGTGCCTCGGCTGCGCGGAGCTTTACGGGTATCCGGACCGGAATACCTACGGTGAGCTCTCGTTCTCATTGGTAGGCGACCGATTCACCCCTAGTACGGGTCTAGTAGGACAAGCACCACGGCATGACCCGTGGATTCGGGAATGCTCAGGGGTCCGTTACGTTTTCTCTGCAGGTGACAAACGTTGCACCACAAACCACAAACGCTTGTTAGGGACGACGCCCTCGTCGAGGAGGAAGCTTCGTGCGTCGCTGCCTTTTCCAAGAGTATCATTTCGGATGCCCTCTGCGTCACTTGATGCGGGTACCGTTCCCTCCCGCAATTCGCGGTGCCTGACCCCTCCGCTGTCGTACGTTTCTCCCGTACACAGGCACTCGCGTGATGGTTGTTGCATCCAGGGCGAGTGTACTCTAATTCCCGTTCATCGAAGCTGCTGCTTGCTACATTCCACCACCCTTTTTCGTGGAAATGGTACGGTCGAAAAATGACACTACCGTCGGCTGTTTTAACGCACCAGAGTTGCCACACCATGGTGACTTTTTCCCGTTTCGCCTCCTCAACCAGGCCCCTGGTGGCTGGTTGTAGACGATGTCCGCGACTACTTTCGCCTATGGTCGGCGCCCGTGCACCGGTGGCTGTCGGAGAGCGTCCAGCGTCCGATGATCGAGGTGGGACAGCGGGAGGCACTCCGCCACCGTCGCAGGCGTGTTGCCAGAGAAGAGGACAAACCGCCCGCAACCAACGGCAATAGCGGCGGCTCGAATGGCGTCCATGACTATCGGCCGAAAGGGACTTCATCGACCACTGGGTGAGAGTGGGGGCTTCGAAATATAATCCTCTCTTTTGTCGTAATCTTGTTTCTTCGGGAAGGTGGGTTCCTTTTAACGGTTGTGCGCTTGCGAAAAAGTACCGTCGAATGCGGTATCGGTCACCGGGTTTTCTTCGACGAAGATTTTCGTGACATTCGACCGGAGACGGGCACCTTCTTCCCATACGATTGGGGTCGAACAAGCTCCAGCTAGGGTGCTGTGCTACTTGAAAACACGACGATATGACCTCGCTAGTCGCTTGTTTCAGTTAGACATGGTGCGGGGTTTTGAGAGGTTACGCCACGGGTGTTTCTTTTCTTGTTTGTGCTGAGTAACTCTTGAAGCAATAATCGATGGTATACCAGTCTAGTGCCCCTCTGCATTGAAGGAATTGCTGTCATGTGAGGGTGTAGGGGCTGTTTCAACCATCCACGTTTCGATGAAATTGTCGAAACCCTTGGTCTAAATGTCTCTGCGCTCGATTACCCAACTTATTGCGGAAGAAACAGGGGCAAGGCTCGGCACGGTGCTGATGCGGGCATAGTGACGCGGTGGTGGCTGGCTTCGGTCGTATGCTCGTTCCTCGTGTCGGGCGTAGTGCACGAGGCCGTTGGGTTCGTGGCCATGCGGCGCACGGTTTGGCCGTTCAGCACCTTCTTCCTCGCCGTCACCGCGTCCATGGCGCCCTTCTGGGACACGCTGTTCCCTGTTGTGGCGGACACCAGCACCCCCGGCACACGGCCTACGGGCAGGCGTGCGTTCACATCCATTGCCGCTGCTGGCGGTGACGGTGTTGGATTCTCGGCCGAAACGGAAGCGGCGAATTCTGCAGCAGTGCCCCGCACGGCCGCGAGACCAACCACAGCGAAAGGCGCAGTCAACGCGTGTAGCGGGAATGGTATCTGCGCTGAGAACGGGGAGGCCGCGGATGGCCAGCATGCGGGCCACCCTTCGAAGGATGTTGCGAACAAGAACGGGGTTGTGACTGGGCAGCAGGGGAGTGAGGCCCCACGCTTGGGAAGGAAAGAACCTCTCCGGCCTAAGATTGGCCGCCGGAGAGGTTGGGCAGCTGTCGTAGTCTACGGTGGGATGTACATGCCCCTAACTTTGGTTGTGGATTATTGTGTGTGGCAGTGGTGGCGACACACCCATATGGCCGAGTGATTTTGTGACAAGTGTCGGAGCTGCGGGAGTCCCGCGCCCTAGCTCTCGAGCAACGTTGCTGATTGTACAAACCGGAGTGCCTCGTGGATCACGGAATGTGTTCGGTGATTGGGATTGTCTATGTGGTGAATGGTTCCAAATTGACAATTGATGTTGTTCGAGTCTCTAGCCCTCAATGAGCAACTAGGCTATGTGTTGTACATCGATTGTTGTATTTCCGAGCTACTCGTTCTTGCTATGCAGGCTATGCAGACCACAACGGTTGGTAGGTCTACTGGAGCGAGCGCTGGTTGAGATACAGTGAAAACGCAACAAGGAGAGGTATACAACATACCAACCACCACCCGGCAAGGGCCTGCCGATCATGGTGTCGTAGTGCCACAAGAAGGTAGAATTGGTCAAGCGGTTACTGTACTCGTTCAGCAAGCGGTGGTGAGTGCGCTGTTGGGCAAAAACGTTAGTCTCGCGATCAAGCCCTTACCCCCTAGCGTGGACTTATATTCCGCTCTACACTCCAACGGTTTGGCGGTGCCTAATCTACATCCCCGGAGACTTCGGCAGGTCGTCCAAACCACTCGCAACAATTACCCCCATCGGTATCCAATCCATGGAAATTAGCATCTACATGCGCGCGTGCGTCGATATAGGTTCCTCTCGCTACTTTGTGTGTAACGAAGGTCGGAACCATTTGTTTACGTCCCTCCCATCTGTCAAAGTATACGTGACAGTGCCCTGTGGCATCCCGCGGAAGCAGCTGGATAGAACTGATCCCCCCTGCGGACGTACTCCAAATACATCGACGACGTCCTCGTTTCTTAACAACTGCGTGTGCGTGCCCCCAATCGTTTTTTTCGATTTGCCCGAGTGTAGTGTCGCTGTTTCAATACGCGCCGCCTGTGCATGTGCCTTCTCAAACAAACAATGCATGAGAAAAACATGGCATGAATAGTGGAAAATCGACCCCCCCACTTACTACATGCCAATCGCACTACACATGCCGCCTACAAAAACCCACCGTTTTCACTTTCATGCGACTACAGCAAGTATCGATTCGTCGCGTTGTGCGCTGAAAATGTGCACCACCCGGGAAAATTGAAATTATCGACTCAAGCGGCATTCGAGCTTGGCCTTGGGTAAACGAATTCACCCGTGGGAAAGTGGGCTGGACCTCTACTGGGAAATACAAAAACTGTCGAGGGGACCCTCGATACTCCCAAACACAATCATAACAACTCAGCTTCATCTTCACCACGAAGCCTCGCCCGCCACGCTCATCCATGCGATCCCGTGGGCCATCTTTTGGTTTATCTTATCCTAACCTGGCTTCCCTAGCCAAAACCTCAGGATCAAACTTGATCAAAAACACCGTCTTTTCTCGCTGCCCCTTCTCCATCTCCACGTTGTGTGCGGAGACCCGCGCCGGCTACAAATCACACCACGGGGGTAGAGAGGCATGGCAGGGAGGGCGGGGCGGGGGTGACGGCAGGGCTGTCGATGGCGTTCAACGATCGCGATCGCGAGGGAATCTCCTGAAAACCGCGGTCGCGTGTTTCATGAAAATACCGACAAATGGAACAAATACCCCACGCTCCAGATTCATCTCTCGCGCTGCATGGAAGTGATTAGACGGACACATCACGCCAAGCCGCGACGACAAGACGGAAAACCTCTTGGCAGATTTACACGGGTCTAGACAAGGAGAAAGTTCACCACGCCCGACACGAGCCCAGTAACGGGCGAAGAAGGCGTGGTCGTCCAAGACTCGGTACAATCGCCCCTGCCAGAAATCAGGATCGGACGCAAACCGACCAAAAACACAACCGGGCGCCTCTGAGTAAACAAACCGAGCAGGCCGAGACCACGTGCGGCACTCACGAACGAGGCTCCGTCCAAGACTCCGGCGATCACACCCGCCACGAGAGCGGCGCAATTCAACTGCCCCAGGTCGGCCGGCACGCTCACGAAACTGTTGGTCATGGGCTGGCGAAAACGACAACGAGCGGCGAGGACGCCAGCGCGAAGGGATGGGATGGGGGGTGCGTACTCACGTTGTGCATGCCTTAACTCTGAGGCCATTGACCACGCGTCCTCGAAAGGAAGGAGCATTGTTTCCACATGAGGGGGGGGGGGGGTGCTTGAAAAAATTGCGTGTGGATGTTGCATTGAAAATTTCGTAACAGGCAGACGTGACGACATGTGGAAGCTATCAGGAAAACTCTAGACCAATATGCATACGTTCCCAAGGCGTTTACCATCACCTCTCTTTCGTGAATCATGTACTCGTCCTCGTTTTCCGTACTCCTCTCCAGGGAATCGGCCGTCTTGCCGAATAATGCCTGAGACAACGCGCATGTTCAACAAGTGAGTTTCCAAACACATCGTGTCCGTGCTGCGGATGCGACAGCAACACTACACCCTCGGTCGGCCGAAACGCCTTCGTTCAGCGGTGGGTGAGGTCGCCGGAGGCGCGCACCGCGAGGCATCAAACTGCGTCTCCCGCTATATTTATTTAGTCGCAATCGCTGTCGCAACCCACCGCGAGACAGGGGTTGTACATATCTGGTGGGATAGGTGAGGAATATGAAGTGTCGGTGAAGAGAAAAACGGACGACAGCAGCGAGGGTGCAGGCGGACTGACCTACATGCACTTGGTACGGGAATGAGCGACAGAAATAGCCGTCTGCGCACACAGCGTTCGGGAAACATCCATCGCCACCGGTTGTGTAGGGTAGGGCGCGCGCTACTATTATAGTCCGCCGAGAGCAAACAGCACAACACTAGGCACTCGTGGATCCCGGGATGACTTGCAAGTCGACGAAAAATGGTGAGAGGTCCCACAACCACGACTCGCCTTCCAAACATTGGAGGAAACCCATTGCAGCATCGGCAGGAGGCGGACTCTTCGCTTCTGCAGTCTCTCGCGGAAAGTCTGTAGCTCCAGCACGCGGAGGCCCATGCCGTACCCTGCCTCCTCAAGCCTGCATGCACGCAACCGATGAATCATGAGAAGAAAAAAAACATAGCGGTGGAGGTGGGCATGTTGTGCGAAGGCATTCGGATTTCTTGTGTGCGACATGCCACGGAAAAAGGTCGGGGGATCTCGTTGCAAAGCTCCCTGGTACATGAATGGACCGAAGCGACCCGCGCGGGCTTAGACGCGTCTTCATGGCAGCGTTGCAAGGTTTCTGCAGCAATGAACCAGCTCTCCACCGGGCCCCCGTCGGGCCACCAAGCGAACGTCCTCTCAACTCTTACACCAAGTTGCCACACACGGACACAGCTGTTGACGTTCGTTGAAGTCAGCCGTTAGGCGGTTTCTTATAAGGTTCGGAAATCCTGTTCAAAAATGTGCAATTACCCATTCGGAAAAAAAGAACAACGTTTCGGTCAAGACGCTTCTTATAGTGCAGTCGGTATTTTTTTGCACTGCTGGCTAGGAATGCGGCCGTTTGTGTTTTCCCGTATTTGCTACCTCATCATCCGGTCGGTTTGTTTTTTCGGGGATCTGTGTACTGAGTGACACAGCAGCAATGGTAAAGTCATACGACGGTAGCTGTGCTTATGGTGCCTCATGTGTATGGGGTGGTTGCTACAGACCGTGACGCGCTGGGTGGTTGAGAAATGATGAAGTTGGCGAGAGGGGCAACTGCTGTTCGAAAAAGACCCCCGCTCGCACAAACAGCTTTTGACAGTTTTTTGCTCCATCACAGCTTTGGTCTCGTGGCGACCCCTATACACTAACCGACCCAGCAGATACCACAACGCCATCCGCCCGTAGCTGTGTGTATGGTGCTTCTTGTGGTGTGATTTTCAGAGACCATGACGCGCTGGGAGGCTAGCAACGAAGTTGGCAAGGATCGACTGACTGCTGTGTTGTTCGAAAAATGACATCATCATCATCATCATGCCGCTCACTGCTACAGGTTTCTCGCCGTGTCATCGGTGGCGCAGTAGCTATCCCTCTCCATTGACCGAACCAACAGCAATGATACATCCCCGACAGAGAGCAGTTGATGGAGCTCACATCCTCTCAAGTTTCAGCAGCAGGGAGGGGTGATCTAGCGAGCGAAAAAATGAACATGTCGCCCATCGATATGTGTGTGTTGAGATGATGCTGCATCTCTTTGAGGGTCTGAGCAAGCGGTGTGTGTGTCAGCTGGCCAACATTTTGCTTTGAGCGCAACTGGCCACACGGCAACCACATATAAACGGCTGGGATGGCAGCACAGTGCTCCGAGGGTTGCTCGGAGCCCTTGATGAGCTCGCTACGACCAGTACTTGCTGCGCAATCGATGGTTTTGTCCGTGTGGTGTGCATTTCCAAACGCAAAAAACAAACGTGCCATCCGATCGAAAATTGAAAATTGTCATCATTCCAAGCGCATAACCAGTTGGAAACGTGAACTCGAAAATGTTCAGGCGGAAAAGTGTCATTTCTGATCTCATAAGAAACAGTTTTTGGTTCGAATTTGGAAATGCACACTGTTGAACTGCATTTCCGAACGTTATAAGAAACCGCCTTACTGCTGTAGAGGTAACCGTCGCCAACAGCCTTCACCCCCCCTCCCCCCCCGCCAATCCTCTTTGGTTGGCTCAGCCCAGTATGCGGTCCGTGATAACAACTCCAGCACTCGTAGGTGATCAATTCGGTAAGGGTTCGCGTCTCACTTGCGCTCCAGGTCGGCGATGCTCGTGACTCTATCTTGGAAGTACTGAACCATCTCCGAAAAGAGGAAGCTGAAGGCGCTCAGGCTCACCTGTTTCAGGCGAAAAAACACATGCAGACGGTTCAGATTCGTGGGGGACGATCTGGCACAATACTCTAAATAGATACCTAAGAGGTGGGTCCGAACAACGTGACGTTGCACGGGGCGAGCTAGACAAAGTGGTGTGGAGGGGCTCATCATGTATGGATTGGGTCGTGTAATGTACAGCACCGCTGGGTGGTTTCAGGATCTGTTGATGCGGATTGCGAAGCTGTCAAGAATCCAACCGGTGTGCTTACCGCGGGCCGAGAGATGAAGCCAAAAGGCAACTACATACGCACACAGATGCACCACCCCGCCAAAAGTCATGCATGGCGCATGGCCAGAGAGGTGAGATCAGCGGGGGAATTGCACCACCGTCAGCATCCAAACCCACGCCAGGCCTTCACCAACTCTCCTACTCTCAAAGAAGTACATCTGAGCATCTGAGGGTTTACCAATTATGCGAGTACTTTACCAAGTCAGCAAATAATACCAAACAGCAGGAAGAACAAATTCAGCAATTCGCATCTTGTGTAGCACATGCTGTTCAGCTTTGGCGTACCTCCGCCGGCTTTCCGCCCTTTCCTGCTGCCACGATCTGGCGATCCAGGATATGTGTTCGAGGAGCGCTTGCTCTTTTCGCCGAATCCATCGTCGTTGCTCTTCGGTCCCCTAATGCTGACAGGGAGGAGCTTAGAGCCGGCGGGGATCAGGAGAAGTTGGTTACCTCAGCCCTACCCCACGCAGCAAAGCTGGAGTAGCTTTACGCTAGATGGTCCCGGAACGCCTGTCACTGCCGCTGCTGCTGGAGAGCCGCTAACGCTTCGCCGATGCGTGTTGCGCTGTTCCTCGAGAGAGAGAGCGGTCCAGTGTACCAACTCCAAGGACCAGCAGCACGTTGGCAGCTTCGACCCTTGCCAGATTATTTTCACCACTACTATGCTCGCTAGATATAGAAGCACAGTATGGTTGGGATGGCAGTGTGTGTCGTTGTAACGTTGACGCCCCAGCAGCAAGCAAACGTGCCGACCTGCCCGTGAGCATAATGGCAGCAAGAGCGCCCGGGGGGGGGAACACAGATAGGTTTTTGCGGGGTATAGGACGCAGCCCGAGACTTCTACGGTTTTCTGCAAGCACACAACACGCAACCACCTCCCTGGCGCATCATCGAGCATCCCATCACAGCGTGGGCAACACGTGGAGTCACAGGCGATTTGTCGAAGGCCGGCGAGTAGAACCTACCGGGACTGTTATTCTGCTAGAATAAGGTGAGATGACAAAATCAAACACGAGACTCCTGTGCTGCGTTCTCTCTGCTGCTGTCGATTGCTGAGAGCAGCGCAGCAGCGTCTGTTGTCGTTGTGGGTTACGGCTGCTGGAGCTGCTGTTACTGCGTGCATCCACGGCAACATTGAAAACAGGTGGTACGACTGCGCGAAGACGTCTTGCAGGAAAAGAGTTGCATTGTGTGAACACAGCATTAGGGCCGTTTTGTCCTCTCTTGATTGCGCGGTACATCAGGATCTCGAAAGAATGGGATCTCTCTCTTACCGACGAGCGAGCGTACAGCAGTACTGTAGATAGCTCACGGATAAGGATGGCTTGCGCAATAGGCAGCAATGACACCTTCGAAGGGTCTGGATACGTGTTGCATCACGGTTGATTGGGGGGTTGCGATGGGTAAATCATCGTGTGACCAATATCTGCGATGAACTCGGCACACGTTCACCAAGTGTACTGATGTTTGGGTACAACAGCCCTGTTGCTCTCGACACACTCGCACGCGGGACACTACAGCGGTACATAACGCCCGACTCCCTCTTCTTTGCACAACCCTTGCGTGTTGCTACAGTAGAGTACACACAGCATGGTCTATTATCGACCCTCGTCAGAGTCCAATTTGAAGCCCGTGTGGTAAGCTAATGGATAATTGATCGGTAGGTTTGCATGTTCGAGTCTATTCTGGAACCCAAAAATAGCTCAGTCACCCAGTGGCATTCCACGTCTCCTCTGTCGGCGCAACCAAACTCAAATACTGATAGTCTAGTACGGTTTTAACAAAGTTGGTAGATATTATTAACCGTACCCGACGTCTTTCATTCGTGCGCTTCTTTTATTGTTTTCGTACAATGTTGTCGCGGGGTTGGTTTCCGAAGGGGGGATAAAAAGGGTCACAGATGGCGGGCGCGGACGAGAAGAAGGAGAGCGAGCCTCCGGCAGCGGAAAAGGGTGGGGGCGGCGGGAAGGGAGACGCACCGGATAAGAAGGATGGGGGCGGCGGAGGAAAAGATGGGGGGGGAGGGGGGGGCAAGGAGGGGGGCGGGAAGGACGACAAGGCCAAGAGCGGGGACGCGGAAGTGGCATCGGTGGTCGTGCCCAAGGGGATAGAGGAGGTGAGGACAGAGGACACACGACAGCAGTTTTACGTCCATTGTTTTGGCCGACCTGACGCAGGTGGTGGTCTGTCCGTAATTCGCTCGGGATTGGCGGGCGGTATGAATGTTGGAGCGATGGTGGACATGGACCGTAGCGAGAGAAACGGTGTCGCAGTGACATCGGTGACTGTTCTTCGTCGCCTGGGCGAGCATGCCGGGTCTTGAGGCCTCGACCTCGATAGATGCATCCTTCCCGAACGCACAGAGTTTCGAGGGACGGAGTGCACACTCCATATTCTAGCCAACCGAGCTAAGCTTACTCAGCGAAAACGTGAAGTGCCGGATACGTCTTGGATACGTATTCAGACCGGACAGTCAAAACCGTGTCCCACGGAGGGAGAGCAAGCAGCCCACGATCGCCGGCAAGACCGGTCTTCGCACATCCCGGACTCGTGCTGTAGAGGCAGTGCCTATGTCAGCACCGCGGTAGCACGCCGAATCCGCACCATTGGTCTCGCGAGCTGGACGAACGGTTGAGCGGTAGATCTGACAGAACGTCAACCCAGGAGGAACGTTGCAGCCGACCAGTAAGATCCTAGCAGCGTGAATGCAAGCCGCTGGTTGACAGGGACAGCCTCTTAAACCTCTTGGCTGAATGCGGAAGCTACTTGCTACCCGTAGGACGCACCGGTCGTGAGGGAGATGATTTGACAGCAGCGAGTGTATGCATGCTCACCTCTTTTTTCGGCCGTGACTGCAATTGAAGCCGCTTGCGTTGAAGCACGGAGACGGCGTGTGTCCCCTGCCATCTGCCAGGGGAGTCGAATGTAACCGTCACACCCGAGAACCGGTGATGAAACCTCGTCGTCTACACAGGACGTGCGTGCTGTAGATACAAGTATTCGTCGGTTATGTGGGCTCGACACCGCATCCCGGGCCTCGACAGCCCCGGCTACACGAACACCCGCCATTCTGCCTGAGACACCAAGGGGATATCTCGGTCTTCGTACTCGCGACTAAAGGCATCGGCGGCTGTGTTTCGACCGTCTGGTGCGGTCCATGTGGGAAAAGTGGCGGTCACGATTATCCCACGCCTGCACAAGCATTGACCTCTGTGATTTGAGTTTCGATCTGCTGAGTGGACAGGTCGGTGTCACCGCTACCCCTGGTAGACCTCCTCCTCATTGGATCCCATCGGTACAAACTTCGAAAGGAACGCCCATTTCACGTACCACTTTTTCCGCAAGCAAGGCCAGTCACACACACCCTCCACCGCCAACTTTTATGGTTCCCTTCCTCTCGCCCGTCCGTCCGCTTGTGAAGGTGGTGGTGCACCCGTTGGTACTCCTTTCCACGGTGGATCACTACAACCGGGTGGCAAGGGACGCGAAGAAGCGGGTCGTGGGGGTACTGCTGGGGTCGAAGTACAAGGGCACCGTCGACGTCACAAACAGGTACGTACAAGTGTGTGTCGGCGTGAGGGCCCCTTCTTCCCGATCGTCGCACTGACCATGCCGCATCTGGTCGTCCCTTCATTTTTTTCTTCTCGTGGAGAATTGGACCGTGGCCTCTCTTCTGTGTGTGTCTCTGGCTGTCTGTCTGTTTGTCTCTGTCTTTGTCTCTCTGTCTCTCTTTCTGTCTATGTTTCTCTCTCTATCTCTCTCTCTCTCTTGATGGTTTTCTCGTGTTCTCTCGATTCGTACACCTACCAGCCCTTTCATCTGATCGGCTGACCAAGTTCGGTGGTGGTGATCGACCTCACTGCACCGAAGCATGCTGGTTCGGAATATTTGAATACTTTCCCTCTTTTTTCTGCGTTTGTTTCGTTACTTTAGGGTAACCTCTGCCCACCCCCCCCCTCTCTCATTCTCCGCCTCGCTGGTTTCTGGCCTTATCTGGTGTTTCACTACCCTTCCTGCCGCGACTATTGCGCAAATCGCATCATGATTATGATCAGCTTCGCGGTTCCGTTCGAGGAGGACGTTCGCAACCCAAACATCTGGTACCTCGACCACAACTTCTTGGAAGGTATGCGTAGACCCTTTTATGTTTTTCGAGGGGAGGTCGTCTCGTCTTCGTTGCTGTCTGCGTTGGTGTAGTGTTTGTAATTTCGCTGTCGGTGGTGTTATGGATCTCCCGTGTAGCATTCTGAAAACGAACGGCTGAGTTTTTTTAAGACGTCCAGGGAACGAGACACGCTCACGACGGACAGCATTCATCAGCAGCGCCGCAAAAATGATCCGCCGCTCCGCCGCGTCTGATCGTCTTCTGCGGGCTACGTTGCCGACGCAACATCTCGTGCCAAACCAAGCGCTGCAGTCGTCACACGGTGGAAGAAATCACGCGTCCTTCTCGCAACTGGTTGCTTGCTTACACAATAGGAAGCATATGCGGTGTGCCACCTGATGTTCCGAAACCGTGTCGTTTGGCAAAGATCCATTGTACGTCGTATTCCACGTCCTTTAGTACGGCTCGTTCCAGCTCAATTCCTAGGCTGCTTGGAAAAATAAGCGTAAGGTTCAACATACGGGTCGTCCTTCGAAATGCATCAGAAATACGTCAGAGTCGTACTTCGCCAAGACAGCATCGTACCACAAAAACAGATCAGGACGCACCGCCCCAGCACCATGGTGGCAAAAGTGAGTGCTTGTTCGGCCTCGATTCCGAACAATAACTCGCCTCCACCACGGCATGTTGGGCTGTACGCATGCACGAAGCGCTCTCTCTGTGGGCAATTTTATCAATGTTTACCCCGCCGGTCCTCAACGCCCACCCCCTTCCCCCCCCACCGTGTGCGCAAGGCATGTTCGCGATGTTCAAGAAGGTGGCGGCGAAGGAGCGCATCTGCGGGTTCTACAGCACCGGCCCCAAGATCCGAGAGAATGATCTCGCCATCGCGGAGCTCTTCAAGTGAGACGACACCGCAAACCCTTCCGCCACTTCCACCTTGTGGTCTCAAGCCAGCCGGTGTTTGGCCTGTTTCATGTGGCGCTTTGCTTGCTCGCAGTCCCGTTTCCAAGATGATCGGCCGAGCTTTGATTTTCTCACGCTTCCCCCGCACCTCCTTGTCTGTCTGTCTGTCTGTCTGTCTGTCTCTCTCTTTCTCTCTCTCTCTCTCTCTCTCTCTGTCCGCCTGTTTCTCTGTCTCTGTCGGTCTCTTTGTCGGCCTCTTCTCCCTCTCTGTCTTCCTTCCTCTCCCTCTCTGTGTTTGACCCTCTTGTTCCCTCTCTCTTGTCTCCCTGCATGTCGCGGGTTCGTTTTTTTTTTTTTTTTTGCCTTGCCAGGCGGTTCTGTCCCAACCCAGTGTACGTGATCATCGACGTACGACCGGACGTGGAGGGCATCCCCACCACGGCTTACGTGACGGCGGAGGAGGTAGAGGCAGACGGCAAGGAGATCCAGAAGACCTTCAAGCACGTCGCTTCCAGCGTAGGTGAGGCTTGTTGCTGCTGTTGCCGTTGGCGTGTGATTTGTTGATGTTGGCGGTGCAGTGTTATCATTCACCATTCATCTCTCTCCAGGTTTGGGAGGTGGTTGTGGTTGTTGTAGGCCGCCGTTGTGTTGGTTGTGATGGCGGTCGTGGTCCTCGTTGGTGTTGTTGTTGGTGGTGTCGCTGCTGCTGCTGCTGCTGCTGCTGCTGCTGCCACCGCCGTGTTGCTGTGGTTGTAGCGGCGCTACAGTGAGGGAAAAATTGATGGAATGCTGACTCTTTCTTCGGTCACCATGCCCGGAGGAAGGGTCTCTCCCATAAGAAACCACACATTTCGGATATCTTCACCACCTTGGTATTGATGTGTGGTGTGAAAATCAACGCCGACAGGCGCCCTCGAGGCGGAGGAGGTCGGGGTGGAACACCTTCTTCGCGACATCAACGACCCTTCGGTGTCGAGCTTGGCCAATCAGGTAACAATAGTATTTTGTCGTTTTCTTCTCGTCGCCGAAATACCTTTGTAGCGGCGATTCTGACATGATTTGTGTTGCACGCGTGTCGAGTCATTTGGGGGAAATGGTCGCAAGTGCGTGTGTGGCAACTTTCGTTTTTTTTCCTCTCTTGAGAATTTATTGCTTCGTTGCTGGGGCCACTGAGAAGGCGAGCACGATGTTCCGTTTTGTTTCCCCCCCGTGGTTGTCGCCAGTCGTCGGCTTTGACACAGGGGTCTACGTCTACGTGCCAAGTCTTCCGTGCAGTATCGCGTGGTTTTCTCTCAGACACGTCCGCAACATCGTGTTGCACGTTTTTGCTGTAGATCAAGACGATGATGTGGTGCGGTTGTTTTGACACGGATCCTGTGCCGCATAGCCTTTCTGTCGTCTCGTTCTCGCCGACCAGGGGCGTTTGCTCACACCCTCTATCCTCTGCCCCTTTTGTTGTGCTGCAGATCAAGCACAAACTCTCGGCGTTGAGCGGGCTCAAGTCAAAGCTGGAGGAGATGCAGACTTATCTGAAGAACGTTCTCGACGGAAAGCTTCCCGTAAACAACCAGGTGCACACCATCAGTCTCGAGCCAGGATGGCATACATTTTGCCCGCGCTAGAAGCCGGTGTTTGAGAGACAAAGGCGTCTACTAGGGTTTCGAGATTTTGGAGTCTTTTCTGCCTGTCCTGTCTGTTTGTCTGTCTGTCTGCCTGTCCTGTCCTGTCCTGTCCTGTCTTGTCTTGTCTTGTCTTGTCTGTGTATCTGTCTCTGATTGTGGGTCACCTGTACCGTTGTAGATGTCGTAACGATTTTTGTATCCTTCCTTCGGCCATCCTCCTCTCCGAAACGACGCGATGCGCACACCAGATCGTCTACAACATGCAGAACATCTTCAACTTGCTGCCGAACCTGAACGTGGACGAGCTGGTCCGGTCGATGCTGGTCAAGACGAACGACATGCACCTCGTCATCTACGTGTCCGCTCTGATCAGATCTGTCGTGGCCCTTCACGACCTCGTCAACAACAAGGTGACAGCGCACACTTCACCACCTCTGATGCACCGACTATAATACTACTCCTCATACTGCTGCCATCCTCTTCCTCCACCAACTGCAAGTAATTGTTTCTAGAGCACTAGCCAGGGGTTTCAGCACACGCTGAACAGCAGCAGCAGGAGGGCGTGTTTGCTATCTACCCGCTGCAACAAACACCTCGACAAATGCTGGAGCGAGAGGCGTGTTTGTTTCTTCCTCGCCCTCTTGAAGATAGATTTTGAACATCAATATGGTTCGATGGTGCCAAGAAAACGATGTTTTGGTTTGATTTGGTCGGCCTGCTGGTGTCTTTGTTAGCTTGGGGGCGATCTTCACTTTTTCAGCCACCAACTGATGCCATCCGCCCTTGTAGTCATTACCAATGGAGCCGGACATGTGTCTCTCGTAACGCACTCGGCCTATGAACATGGCTTTGGACCATCATCTAAGGCGTACCATGCTCAATGCTTGCCCGCTCATGGTCGGCCTTTTTTTTCTCCTTCTTTTTCTAATCTTACGCGTCATGGCAGATTCGATACAAGGACATGGACGGGCTGGAGGCGGGCAAAGATGAAACCGGCACGGTGAGCGAGTGAACTGTAATATCTAACATGCTATTCATTGTTTTGCTCAGGCGTGTGTTTGTGTGGAGTAATGATACTGCTAAGCTTCCCTTCTTGTCCGGCAATTCCGTGTTGCGGTTTGCGTAAATGCCATGCTTGGTTTTTCGTCCGAAAAGCCATGCTTGGTTTTTCGTCCGAGAATCTCGTCTGCGATGTACACTTTTTTAATGTTTCATACTTCGAAGTATGCGTAACTCTTTAGACGTTGTCTGTATGGTACCGTACTGACAGAAGCCCGAGGAAGGGGAGGACGCCGCGGCAAAGAAGGAAGCCACCAAGGGAGAGGTGCGTTTTTTTTTTTTTTTCTGTGTTCGCCGTCTTGGTCGTATGAGCGTCTTCCAGTTTTTGTGCTTGTCTCCAATTTTGTTGGCGTTTTATTTTATGTGGTGTAGGTTGGTTTCAGAGCCCTCCCCCCTACAGGAGGATTTAAAATGTTGGCCCGCTACCCTTCCGTCCGTCCCATTTCGAGGTAGAACGAAGCTGAGCACCATCGACCAAACTTGGCTATTCTGCTCGGGGTAAAGACGGACGGCGAGACCGTGTGGGACTTGTTTGCCGCACCCTCCACCCTCTTCCTTGTTGGAACCAAAACACATGGACACATGGCGTGGATCCATCCGCCTGATTACTTTCGCGCTCTGGAACCCATCTCCGTTTCACCATTTCACCGTCTTCATTATGTTCTTGTAAATCCCGCATCGACCATCGACCCCACGCCCCCCGATTTTCTACGTTCTGCCCCCCTCTCGCTGTTGATTGCAGCCGCAGAAGCCAGGGAGCAATAAGGGGGCATAAGGTTGCACTACTGGTTGGCTAAGTGCTTTTTCGGACATGGGGTTCGTTTTTTGTTGTTGTTTTTGGAGCCGTTGGTGTTGTGATACCCATTGTAGCAGTTTGTGCGGTGAATGCGTTCTTGCTGTGCGAGCGAGCGGAGCGGCCGTTAGGGGATTGCTGCAGCAAAACGTAACACGAATTCGCGCTGAACAAGGAATTAGACGAATGGGCGGGGTTTGCGCACGCACACTTTGTGACGAATGGCTCCGCGACCCTTCGTAGCCTTGGAGAGGAGGGAGCAAGGTGTGGGAGTCGGGAGTTTTGGCGGGTTCCCGCGCCGCCGTGGCCGCTGTGACTTTCAGGCGGGCTCGCAATAAACATCGGGGAACAACCAGCAAACGTTGTGTTGGTGACAATACCGTGCTTGCTTTTGTCGGCCGTGGGCGGACGGAGTGAATAGGTCGGTTTTCCAATGTGAAGAAACAACGGCAACAACAACGAAAAAACCGTTTCGTCTCGTTGTGGCGTGCTGTGGCGGATCGCGGCAGGAGCGGTGCGCACTCTCGCTCTGTAGACTGCCTACTTTCCCCAGAACCGGGGTCTGTCGTGTTGGAACGCCTTGCATCTTTTCTTACCACATTTAAAGAAGCGAACCTGTTTCGTTTTCCCGTTTGGTGTTTGGAAGCACAGACGTTCTGTTTTTTGGGGGGGTTTCACCTCTGATGAAAGGAAGCTAACGTACGGCGGTGCTGCCGCGAGTGCGTGCGGGACCCCGGTTGTTGCGTTCGAACGGCCGGACTCTCTCCAAATCGATAGCGACGTTTACCCGAATATCCGTTTCTGCAGCAATCGAAAACGTCATGTTGGGCTTTCTAGACTTGAAACGGGGCGTTGTTCCAGTGTGTAGTGTGAGCTGATTTCATAGGACCAAGGGATTCGGCTTATGCCGCTTGGATTCAAACGGACCAACATGTGTGAGAAAAGGCATGATGTTGGTGGACCGTTTCATTTCATTTGACATCCGGAGCGTGCATTTTGGAACAAGCGTTACATCGAGCGCCGAACTAGATTATGACCATGGCGTAGAAGAAGTCGAAAAAGCTCTTTCGCTGTTTCTCTTCTTCCCCCTGCACCCTTTGCCGCCAAGAATCGCCCCTCTACCTCTGAGTTGTCCCGGGGTGTACGATTTCACCAGAGTATGACGATCGCCCCGGGAGACGTTCTCGAAGGATCTTACGGTACCTGGAACACCTTAACATTCACCAAGACCCTGCGACTCACACGATCTACTCGTCAGAGCCAGCAAATAGGTTGAAAAAAAAAGTGCAAGGGAGGCCGCGTGTTGTCCCCTACAATCCATTCACAAACGACTGGCCTAAGCGTTTTTTGGTACTGAAGCTCTCATGTGCGACTCTCCGTGTTCATGCGAGATACATGCATAATACGCGGGTCGTTGAACTACAGTATTCCTCCAACTGCATCAAAACTCGCACATCAAACAGCCGATCTTGTTCCATCCCCGTCTTGTAGACAATCACAATCAAATCTATCCTACACGAGCGATGCGAGGTCCCCCCTCCCCTCCATCCCTATACAATGTCGACACACAACATCTTGGATGCGGCTCTCTCTCCCGGAATCGACGTTGGATAGACCAATTATATCTGCCCACACGGGTGGCCAACAGACCGGGTTGTAAGGAGGGCACTTTTGCCAACCTGAATCGAGATTTATTTTGGCACGAGTTGCAACCTCCCCACCTTGGGTAATCCTTGCAATGCAACGATGGCCAGGTTGTGCAAGGTACACATTTCTTGGGGGTTGCGCGTTGTTTGCAAGCCGGATAGGGGGCGGTTGCCGATGGTAGTGCAAGGTGTACCCTTTCTTGGTGGTTGGTGCGCTATTACAAGTCGGATAGGAGGCAGGTTGCCGATGGTAGTACAAGGTGTACCCTTTCTTGGTGGTTGGTGCGCTGCTAACAAGCTGGACTGGGGTCAAGCTGTCGATGGCGGTGCAAGGTGTACCATTTCTTGTGGTTGGTGCACTGCTTACAAGCTGGACAGCGGGCAGGCTGCCGATGGCAGCGCAAGGTGGACCCTTTCTTGGAGGTTGGCGCGCCATGCACAAGTCGGTTAGGGGGGAGGTTGCCTATGGTATGACAAGGTGTACCCTTTTTTGCAGGTTGGCGCGCTTCGCACAAGCCAGTTGGGGGGCAGGTTGCCGGTAATCGTGCAAGGTGTACCCTCTCTTTCAAGTTGGCGCGTTGCGCACAAGCCGGTAGGGGGCAGGTTGCGTATTGCAATGCGTACCCTCTCATAGAGGTTGCGCAAGATGCGGCCGGTCTACAACAAACAGCAGTGCTCAACACCGTAGTGGCGGGTTCAATTCCCCTGCAATACGTCTTTTTTTTGTTCATGTTTTATTTGTTTTTTCGCCCCCTGTATTCGAATCACTACAATTTTATCGTCGGTACATTCCCGAGCAAACTCCTGAAACAACGACATCCCGTGCCCATGCATCATACGCATGTTGCCAGCTCTAGCATAAACCCATCTCCGCCCGCGGCTTATCATCTCGACCCAGGGTCGTCAACATCCCAAGTTGCACGACATGTAAGCGAGAACTATAAAAGGTGCACTTCAAATTTAAACAATACATACATACCCTTTCGAACGTCGTTCTGTGTATTGGATATCTCCCCACAACAACAGCATGCCCTGGCCCATGACCGTCAGCGACGTCGATCATGGAGACGACCCACAATCCCCGCAACAAACTACAGTTGTTTGTTGTGAGGAAGCACAACTCAGCCGGAGGCAACAGCTACACGTAGCGGCAGCAGTGCTGTCCAAACGCACAGGTAGAAACGACCGTCTCTCCCGACACGAAACACAGAACCCCCTCCCACCCTGGCCGTCCCAAATTATACAACCAACTCTAGTCAAGAAAAAACGTCACTGCCTGAGCTGTGACAGCGGTGTCCTCCAAAAACCATGCAGAGACTGCAGAAATAGACCTCTCTACTTTCCCAACACCATCGAAACAACTCCCCTCTCCCCTCCCCCAAAAAAGCTACAATTCGCACAAACAAAACAGGGCGCGGACGAAGCCAAGAGGTTGCAGCGACAGATTCCAAACGCCCTTGCAGACACAGTAAGAAAACACCTGGCTCTCATCCCGCGCCAGGCGCCCTCATGCACCAGCGAGAGCAAAAAGCGTATCATAGCACCATATGATTAAAAAAAAAAGCTGTGAGACATGGCGAGCGGGATATTTCTCCGCCTCCTCCGTCAAAGCTTCCACCCGTTGTGAACGTCATGAGGACCCGAGGAAACGCTTTGAACGATGTTGCAGCGGAGGCCCCGGCGACTCGACCTGGAGGTTACCGATCAGCAGCGAAATAATATTGAAGTGTGAGAGGAGGGTAAAAGTGGGCTTTCGAGAAATGGAGGGCATGCTCTCCCCCTTTGCTGCAGTATAGTTCTTGGTATAGCTGACAGATGTACGTTGTCAACAATAATATTTGCAAGCAGGCATGGGGGGGGGGACACACAAACCGACAGCATAACCGCAGGTCGTAGAATACGTCAGAGACGAGGATAAGCTACGCACCCCGGAGAACTACTTTGAAGGGAGGCGAGTTACATTCAAACATCAGGGGTCGCCAACGGACACGCTGGGATGAGGAAGGGTGTACATTATAGGAAGCCGCGGGCATAACTGATGCACGACAAGAAACACGCAAGCATCCAACATCATCGCAGGCAGAGCGAAAGAGGGAGCAAAAGTGGCACGATTTTTGGAAAGGACAAGACACGTGACATACCTTGTCAACACGGTTTAGGTGTCCGCCAAGGTTTTGTAGCCAGCGTAGTCATCAAGACCATCGCTTTTCTCGCTCGGAGACGAAGAACATCCCGGTCCCCATCTTTAGTTTACCCTCCACCCCCATCCGCCCCTGGGTCACCTCCTCCACCTCCTGCCCCCTCGTCCGCGAACAAGCACGGCTTGAGGTAGCGCTTAGCATCTTCCTGACGATCAATACTCTCGGTGGAGAGGATCGGCCCAACGTATTCCAAGCCGAACCGCATAAAGCTCTCCTAGGACCTGAGACACGAAACAAAGAACAAATAGCGTTCCATGTGAACGTCGGTTTGTTTGACGTCACGGGTTCATACATAAATAGCTTGCGACAAACCACCAGCGCGTCGACTGCCTAGAAGCAACTTCAGGGGACGCTGAAAATGTGGGAAAATGATTTTAAAGACTGGAAACGCGTCGGGAACAAAATAAACGAGAGTGTTGGATGTTCGGCAGAGCTTGCACGTCCAATGAGCGCTTATCGGCCTGACAAATTGCCGACAGTACACCAGGGGAGATAGGGATATAGAAGAAAACGCTAAAGACAACAAATACCCTCAGCCCCATAGAGCTTAGTTCACATATCAACAAAGGCAACGTACATGTCGCTGATGACGTCCAAGTTTTTTCACGGCCGCCGCCCTTCGCAGCAAACGTCTTTTCGAAAAAAGCCTCGCACACGGGGAAGGTACGGCAATACCGTCGTGGTCGGGGTCGCTCCTGTTACCGAAGTGTAGCCTGTAGTGCCCATCCTCGTCTTGATATCCGTGAGGACGTACTGCTCGAGCACCTTCGAACGATGCCAATCCATACCGTGAGGGGGGGGGAGTGGTGCTGAGCGGGCAAGGGGCTGGATGGATGGATGCACCAGAGCAAGGGTGACAGTAGATGGCCTGGAATGTTCGCCGGAAACAGCAAGCAGGAGCGCGAACAGGACATCAGCTATCCTCGCTGTAAAAACGTGCATGGGGATTAATAAGTTCAAGCGTCATAACCACAGGGAAGCGGCGTTAACATTTCAAGGACAATAACTCTTCGTCCCCGGCGCTGTCGCTTGGCATCATGAGATGTTCGCTAATTGCACACTATCGGTTCACCTTGCGACGTCCCTCTGTCTTGCACTATAGGCTAACGCTACAACATGTGAGACCCTCAAACCAACAGCAGTACCGGTGCGCGTGCGTCAAAATTCTCTACTCCTTCCACAAGCAATGCATCGCGAGGAATAGTTGCCTGCAGGTCCCCCCGTTCCTTGCTTCTATTGTATGCATACGCTTTGGTTGAGTCTCATCAATGAACGAATGAACAGCTCTCGAAAGAAGGTATTCCATCGTTCCCTCCGTTCAAATTCACATAGGAGCGATTTACTCAAAACTTGCGTGGAGCTATGCCTGAGTGATCGACGATGTTATGCACGACTCTGACAGCAGGTGCCGTAGCAGACCTTCATCGGTTCTCGGTGGACAGAGGTGTCGCGGGTCGGACATGAACTTTCTATCATACTCTGTTTTTCAAATCGCTGGGCACCATTTCTGAACAAAATCTCGCATTTACTCCGGAGAGTTCACTTAACCCGACCGTACCTGAGCTATGGGGTGGTGCGCTTGCATCGGTGGACCTGATTGAAGGTCACGCTCTGCATGGCCTCGTCCTCTGACACGGGAATGCCGTGGTTGGCTGTCCCTAGAACGTTCGAGAACATGACGGTACCAAGCCCACTCATGGCGGTATCCGCCTACATAGTTCGATAGAAGTGGGGGGGTGTACTCATAGTCGTGCATGCCGTAGTCGTTTGACCATTGACCTCGCATCCCTACAAAGCCGGGACGGAGCACGCCGGGTTCTCACCGGACCAGGCTCTCACATCACCAAGCGCGAAGCGCCGTGAGGTATTTGGCGAGTCGCATGAAGGGTGAGCTGCATCCTGCTAAGGGTGTTCGGCATCTTGGCTTACTTCCTTGCGTACGGATGACAGCTACGTATGACTTAGTTTATTTTCTGGTGCTTTCACTTCCATTGACAGTTGTAAGCACTGTGTAACTGCCTCGAGGAAGCTTGACCATTTTAACACAACGTGGTGCGATCATCCCCCGTTGCGCGGAGTGAGGGTTCTCGACCCCGCACAACATGATCTACTCGACCACCATTTTGGTTACCGCCAAAAAAAAAAACCGAGATAAAAAAAAAAACGGTAACCTGGTTGCCGAGTTCACGAAGTGAATTGGCTTCTTTTACAACGTCGTTGCCAAGCGACGAAAACCCAATCCCGATGGCAAACACCGAGTGGGGGGCTTGTTTTACAACGTCGTTGCCAAGCGACGAAAACCCAACCCCGATGGCAAACACCGGGGGGGGGAGGGGGGGGGGGAAGAGTGGGTGAGACGCAATATATGAAGGCGCACATGCATATCCCTTCGCTTTGCTATGCATACTACTGTTGACCTCTTCGTTTCGCATCAGTGGCGCGGCATGGGGGGACCCGCTGCGACCGCCTTTTCTCAGTTGTTGTTGTTGTTGTCTTGACATTGAAAGAAAAAAACTTTCCGATCTCTGACACGCCATATTTCTCAGGAGTTTACTCGATATTCTGTATTTTACGGCCAATAATGTTTTCAAAGGGGTACATCGAAATCCCGGATGAAAAAGAAAGAGAAAAAAAGGGTGGTGGGAAGAAAAGATATGGCGCAGATGAGAATCGAATCCACTGATCTCACAGCACAGCAGTTGCATAAGATACCACGCCCCCTGGACCAATTTCCAAAGCCTGATTATTCCACACCAGAAGGAGTGGCAAGGCCGGAAATGGCTGCATTGGAACTGTCTCGTGGAGAGTTTTTTCGAAAAAGTATTGTTTGATTTTCGGAATCGTCTTCGTCGTGGAACATGATAGGTTGAAACTTGGTCAAGGGGGTGTGGTATCTTGTGCAACCTACGGTTACCGTTAATTCTTGCTTTGAACACGATATATTTGCATGCGTGTTAACGACCTGTGTCAATCGAGCAACCCATGTAAAACAATTCGGTGTTATTAGCGCTGGGCGTTGGTTCAAGCATGTGGACGGTCGAGACGGTCGATGCTATGCATGTGTGTGGACAGGTCAGATACAGCAGACATGCGGTGTTGTTACTGTTTCGTACGTATGTTGAAGAAAACGAGCGCCCTCCAAAAAACGAAAAAACCGTTGAAAATAACGAAGTGCCTACCCGCCCTCCAAAAAGCTCTTTTATGAGGCTGGGCGCTTACTGACGCCTCCGGCATAATCCCCGCTCTGTACATGGTGAGGAAGAGCCGCATACACGCAGTAGGTCGAGAGCCGCAGGGTGTGCAGGACCAACTGCTGGTGTCTGAGCGTACTTGCATCTACAGCACGTGGAGACTTCGCGCCCTTCCCAACGGGAACATATGCGTAGGGATACACAACTTACACAACACACAATATTCCCTCAATTCATCCTTCTATTGCTACCATCCAGATGTAACTGGAGGGGATTCGCTTACCTAGTCAGCAACTGCTGCCGGAATGTCGCTCTCTCTTCTCCACGCGCGCCGTGTAGAAGCTCGTCTTGCCGCTTTACAGCAGCAGTGTCGTGCGGCGGGTTTAGCTCGCGGCGGTTGCTGTGCCCCGAGTTCGAGCATCTAGAGATAGCATCGCTGTTTGCCTTGGTTACGAAAGGAATGGCACCAGTTTAGTCGCTATTCGTCTTGGCATGCTGCGGCCTCTGGTCGTCTGTGTCAAGGCTAGCTAGATCGTCACGCGAGGGCGATGCAGGGCCAAACAAAGCCATGCAAACAATTGGGGGCTCGATGGTTCGGATGCCCCCCAACCCCGTCTTCCCATCTGTCTGGCGATCCATAACGATATCTGTCTGAGAGCTTGTTATACCCTGCACCATGTAGCTGGTACACACGTAGCACTCGTGAATCCCCGCACACCCTCACACAAAAGCCTACAGTGAATAGTGTATGCGTTCATTTAGTACACATTGTGCCAACGTATCCTTGGAGACGAATTTGTTTGCGTATTGTCCTGCCTGAAAAAAAAAGAAATTGTAGTACACTGAAGCCAGTTTTCCCGGACCGTCGAACCGACACCACAATCTACAGTCAGGAGGTCTGCCCTTCGGTTGTGACTGCCTCCCAACCTGTAACATCGGTGCTTTCACAACCAGGAGGTCTGGCCTAAGGTTGTGGCTGCCCCCCAACCTGTGTGGTCGGTGCTTGCACAACTAAGTGGTATGGCCTAAGGTTGTGGCTGCCCTCCAACCTGTGTGACCGGTGCTTGCACAACCAGGAGGTGTGGCCTAACGTTGTGGCTGCCTCCCAACCTTCCGCATCCGTCCTTGTACAACCAAGCCGTTTGGCCAAGGTTGGGACCTCCGCCCAACCCCCCTCTACAACCTGCCCCTACCTTGTGGATGCCCACAACCCACCCACAACCTGCCCTCTGGCCACCCGTGCAACTTTACTCTCATGGCCCCGCTCGGGGACAAACGTTCACAAAACACGCCCGTTTCTTCTTTTACACGCCTGGCGCCCTTTCAAACACGTAACACGCGTCCACACCATAACGAGTCGAACGGTCGGACTACACCGTAGACTAAATGCCCTATTCCAGGCGCACACATTCATACCATATCCGGGTCAGGTGTTTCTGACACTTTCCCGCTTGCACAATATATCCCACAGTTCATTATCATAGTTGTTTGATTCTCTCTTTCTTTCTGTCTATCCCCGCCCTTGCCTGCCCCAGCTCTGCGCGCCCGCACTTGCACTATAGTACATGTATGAAAGGAGCTGGAAGTAACGTAGTCTACGTGCCATGTGTGGTCTATGTAGTTATTCGAGTAATATTGCAACCGAGCGACTCTCGGAATACAGCTACCCAAGCCAGTTTCTGGCGACCGACCTACGTAGGAAATGAAGGTGAGGCTAAAAACGTGTAGACTCGAGAGCTTGCACTGCTCGAGCTACCGTACAGCAATAAATAGTCGCTGTACATGCGAACGCGTCTCGACCGCGGGGCACTTGATGCCCCCGTCACGGAGTAGAAAACGTGCTTACGGACCATTATTTTTTGACCTTATCAGTCAGAGGGGAACGCCAACAAGCGAACACGGTATCCCGACGATGATGGACGTCTCTTGTCCTTGATCGTGCTGAACAATCGAACGGAGCGATGCTCTGTCCCCCACCAGCTGTCTGTTGCCGACGAATCCTTCGGCTGATTCTACGACTACCCTTTGCCCACGGAGAATATCGCCCCGTGCATCGACCTGAAGACGAGTACAGTAATATTGTGCGGGGCATCCATTTCCGCAATCTCTTATTCACGGTGAGGAGTGCAAGCAGCACAACTTGGACCGATCGCCTCAAAAGGGGGAACAAGAGCGGTTCTTGGGCATCACGCATATGTGCGATACCGCAAGGGGGTTCTCACTGTCGGATGAGGTTGGGGGAGAGGTGGAAGGGCCTGTCGAACAGTTTTTATCACTCGCGTTATTCAGGTCGACATGCGCCTCACCTTGCCTGCTACTAACTGCACCAGTGCTTGCGTGTGAGCGCTCCTTTGCGTGAGTGAGTGTAGGCGAAAAAACGGGAATCGTCCTGATACTAACCACTCACGTGGGTACGGGCTACCTCGTCGCATCTACGCCGCTTGGCCACGCGAAGACGAGACGGAAGAGGATACTCCGATGTTCTCCGACGTCGACTCTCGCTTGCAGCTTATGCACATCCAGAGCCCCTGTTGGCCAAGTGCGTGTCGGAGTGGAAAGGGACGGTGTGGATCCATGTCCCGCGGGTGGTCCCGTTCTTCAAGGACAAACAAGACGCACGTCTCTTGCAGCCCCCTTCTCCCCTAGTCTGGTATGTGTGAAATACAGGCCTGCAAATACTAGGTACCACGTCACGGTCCGGTTTCAATGTATACTCTCAGGCCCTTCCACGGAAATCATCGCTCACAAGCAAGAGCCTATCATGTGGAGATTCTCCCGTCTGAAAACAGTCGTCTCTTCAAGATCGACGAATTACAACACGAACCGCACTCCGCCTTCAAAATATTCCGTCTGGAGATTCTCGCTCACATCCAAGTGTCCTACGCAATGAGTTTTTGATGGCCCGCAATGAGCACTCGTCAAACAACGTGAACGCGTGCTTTCTTGGACCGGCCTTCTCGGTGGGAGCGCGGCAAGTCTACCTCTGAGTTTGGCACAACTCACCTTGCGCAAGCCCTCGAACGCTATCGCCAGAACTATGGCCACGACGACAAACACGGCGAAGGCGGTGACGATGATGACCGGTGTCGGCACTACCGAGGCGTTTTTGGGGGGGGTGCGATGAACGCGGCAAAGCGCGACAACATACAACAAAACAGACAGGAGTTGTAGGCCTCGAACGAAGGAATGCAAAAAGGCATACAAGCCGCAGGTTCTCGATCGACTGAATACATACGTGGTACGATTTCGAAAACGCTTTCCTCCGCACGTTTTGCTGGCGCCGCCGTCTTTCACGAAACAAGCCACGTTGACTCCGATGTTAGGTAGTCTGTCTGTCACGAGCGGCTCACACTGCTTTCACAATCACACCTATCTTCTGGTTGTCGCATGTTTCTGCTCAGAAGGATGCTGATGCCGCACATTCGCATCAGATATCCGACGCATTTAATGGTGATGACGCACTGCAGAAGCACTTTCCCGCTTCTTCAAAAATATGTTTACGTTCTTGGTCACCATTCTCAAGCAAAATTGAGCATGAAGGTAGCACGTATCCGCAAAATTCTCGAGCAGGCTTGGCTTCAGGACTGCCACTCGCCGACCCCCCTTTGGCCAAGAAAAGTGACCGAACGCCTTGACGGCCTAGGGGGACAGGCGGAAAGCACCGACGAAAGTTCTACCAGGAACCTAAATATAGCAGGAACCATTGTATACCAGGAACCAACATGTTCCGAAGAACGATCGACTTGAGCCTTACTTCCATCGTCTTCGCTGGTGTGTACTGGCTCCGCCGCCAGGGCGACGGGGGCCGGAGACAAGGTGAAGTCGCGAAGACCGTCGTTGCCGGCCGTGGTGGGGGCGGGAGTCGCGCAGCCGCACCAGACAGTAAATCCCGTGGCGTCGTCGTCTTCGGCCGCTGTTGTTGTTGTGCTGCCCCTGCCGTCGCACAGCCAGGCGGAGACTTCGGCGGGGTGGGTGGTGTTGGCGTCGGCGCCGTCCTCATCGTAGCAGAGGCGGGGGTCCACCACGTCCTGGGTGAAGTTGTAGTTGCCGATCGCCCAGACGTAGGTCTTCAAAAACAGGCGGCGGGGGCTGGTGGTGGCGGCGGCGGCGACGGTGGCTCGTTATTTGGTAGGAGAAAATGGAGAAACATACCGTGTTCGCCCTACCTCCGCTAGCCACATGACTACATCTTTTTGACTTCTTCGTTGGCGAGGTGTGTCGTTCAAGGGCTACGGTTAGCCCAGCAGCAGTCATTGTTCTTTCCGCAGAAACCAAGAGCTCCAACGCACACCGCCGTGGTTTTGTTTCGGGTCTAGACGATGTTAGAGGGGGGGGCAACGGCAAGAAGTAAATCGGTCTAGACCGACGATAAGAACGAGTCAGAGGCGCCACTCGTTCGCTTTTCACCTCGTTGGCCAGCGGGCCGAACAGATCGGAGGCGCACACCACCGGCCCTTCCTCGAGGACCCCACCCATGCAGAGCACGGGGAGAGAGTTGAAAGTCGACACGTTGGACGCCGAGTAGCAGCCGTCGTACGCGCCGCCCCGGCCAAAGCCGTCGACCCGAAGCGAATCGTCGCCCGAGCATGCGGGCGACGTCGCGTTATCGTGGTCGACGACGGCGGGGGCGGGCGAAGGGACGGGGATCGCTCCGCGAGACCCCGCCAGGGGAGAAGGCGTCCCCGCTCCGCCTGGAGGAGCGGCCATGCCCGCCGGAGCGGTCGTGCTCGCCGGAGCGGCCGTGCTCGCCGGAGCGGCCGTGCTCGCCGGAGCGGCCGTGCTCGCCGGAGCGGTCGTCTCGGAAGCCTCGGGAGCAGCAGGACTCGGTTCTGCGGTTGCTGCTGCTGGAGGAGCGGACGCTCCCGCAGGCAAGGCCGTCGGCGTGGGAGTCGCGACAGCACCGGTTGTCGGAACGGGAGTCGCGCCCGTCGCGGCGGCGGGCGCGGGAGTGTTCCTCGCCCCGGGCGGGCTCGGCAGAGCCGAAGGCGCCGGCGTCGGTTCGGCGGTCTCCGGGCCTGCAGGTGCAGGGGTCGCCGAGCAACCGCACGTGATCGCGAAGGTCGAAGCTAGGTCGCCGCCGCAGGCCCAGTCGGCGACTTCCGATGGGTGAACGGTCGAAGCGTCGCTACCGCCGTCGTCGTAGCAGTAACGGCCGACGACATCGCGACTCCGGTCGTACTCCCCGATTGCCCGGACGTACTCTTGAGTCGAAACGCGACCAGCAAGGGGTGTGACGAGAGAAGCCGAGGATGTCAGAGAAATTTGCGCTTGCAATCGACTCGTAGCGACCCGCGCGAAACGGAATACCCGTGCCCGGCGGAGCGATGTTCCGGGTCTGCTCGCCATTAGCTCTTCCGAAGTGCTCGGGGGCGGCTGCCGGTTCGACTTCCGTCGGGATTCCGCCGGGCTGGAGCGGGTGAGATCGTTTCACATCGAGCAGGAGGAAGAGGTAAGAGCCGCGCCGGCTGCGCTCGGGTCGACGTTCGTTCGATCTGTCGGATTTACACGCGGTCGGTTTTGGTCGGGGTCGTCACGACTCTCGTACGACTGTGACACCATTCTATCGCCCAACGTTGGACATTCCCCCTGCGCACGAGATCTGTTTGTTTTCGTGAAAAACGGAGGGAGAAGATCCATCGGCCCACGATCGATTCCTCCTCGATCGGGGGATCGATCCTGCCCAACCTTCGGAGCGGATTTTCCCGCCGAGGATGAACACTATCCATGCATGCGCCCCGCTACTCCTCACGATGTTTTGCGCTGCGTGTTGGTTACAACCGTACGTACATCACAGCGCGAGAGGGTTTGGGACAGCAACGCCAGGATGATCCAACCCTTTCGTCCATCGATGTCGCACGGTCCTGTAGCGTTCTTTATTAGGCGCAACACAGAGGGTAAGCCATCCGTGCGGTCCGCGATCTACCGCACGTCGGATTTCTGGCCACGAAGCCCCTACACAGCATTTCAAGAACGACCCGTATCACCACTTTCGTGCGCAACAACCACAATGTTGCTCGAACACGCAGAGCCACAGGCTTGAACCATCGTGAGAAGGTGTAGCATTTTCAGCTGGATGCTGCGCTCAGTTGACAACGTGCTACACCGCCCGGGCTGAAACTCTTGTGCACAACAATGCGTCAGTTTATGCACTTAAATACTCACGACCGAGTCCTGGCATACAACGCAACCCCCTTTTACAAGACCTGTAACGTAAAACACCTGCGCCCCAACAACGAAGACGGCGTATTTAACATGAGCGACTGAACCCCGAGGAGCAGCAAATACGGCACCAACCTCCTACAGTGGTTCGAACAGCTTCATTTCGTCTTCATCAGTTTCTCCTGTTGCATCTGGGTTGTCACCTTAAGCAAACAAAGCGTTCTCGCTCCAGGACTCACGCACACGCACCTCATCGGTTAGGTTGCCGAACAGGTCCGAGGCGTACACTACCGGCCCGTCCGCAGGGACCCCGCCGATGTAGAACACGGGGAGGAAGTTGAAGGTGGTCGTCTGAGAGGCCGAGTAGCAGCCGTCGTAGGCATCGAGCTGGAACCCGGCTATTCGGAACGCATCGCCGGATGAACACGACGACAACGTCGACGTCGACATTTGTTCTCAGCGCTTCTTGCGGCTTGGCCCTACCGATAGAACGACGTAAGAAAACACCTTAGGGTAAAAGCGGCGTGTATGTGGCCTGTGAGTTTGCCGGATCACAAAAAGTTGTCCTTACAGCGCCGGTAACCAGACATGCCTCTTGGGAGATGATGGTGAAAGAGGAACGGGTGGGGGCAGCAAAGTGCGTGAAGGTGAGCGCTCTGAACCCGACCTATTCATCTTGCTGAAGGATGTATCCGCGAAGATAGATTAAGGAGTCTCACGGGTGGTTAAATTCCATCGAAGGTGTCCCCCTGAACAACGCCAACTTGGGTTTGGTGGTCGACTCTAATGACTCCATCAGGAGGTTGCAGAGAAATGTTGGCTGATTTCAGGAGCGGGGTCGGCAGTTGGTAGCGCAAAAGAACCCGAGCAATGCGGGTTGTGTGCTCTGTCCAGCTACTCCAACGAATACACCAGACGACTCCGAGCCAGTCGCTCCTTACGGCGTCCTGGAGGCAACTTCGACAACCTCAAGCGACCGGTGGAGGTAAAGAGTTCGAGTCCCGGCGGGGCGGCCCGAGTAGTTCGCTCTATTCGCAATGAGAGTGCTCTGTGTTTTCGTCCCTTACCCTACACACGCCGTCTTTGTTCAACGGTTGGCGATGCCGTTGTATGAACCATACCCAATCATCCGCTGGGGTTGCGGCCCCACGGGATGGCCACCCCCTCAATTTGCCTTAATAGATACATGCAAAACCCACCCAGCCCAGGCAACACGCATCATACAACTACATATCGAGACATGATATCTACGTGGTTTTGGACTGGTGCCGGTGCATGCCCCCCTAAAAAAGTTGGATGGGTGACACAATTTTGGGAGACTCGGAAGTTTAAAATCCCCCCGGGCATGCGCAACATACCCGGGAAGCGGGTCGTGGAATACTGCTGTAGTCGCTTCGTTGGAGGAACCTCTGGTGAGCACCTTCTGAAGCGACGCTACTTTTTCCCCTACTTGCACGACTAGATCCGAGCTACAAGTAGGCATGGGCAAGACGGCAGTGTCGTGGAACGTCAAACGTACAGTGCATGTAGCACTGCCCCTCTCAACACACAAAAAAAACACGATCAACGACCACTCGAAGACATTTCCCGCACAGCACATGTAGCTCCAGTACCGATACGCTCGTGCCGACCACTACGCATGGATATTAGACAAACACTTTTCGTGTGCAACCCTGCTATTGATGATCCTGTCGCCCTCGACACCGTAGAGGTCAAACCAGACCTTCTACTTTATCCGAACACGAACAACACGGACTCTTTGTAGGAGCGTTGGGTATTATCTACGCCCACAGGTGTCAATCAGGAGGGTAGAATAATTTTGATCTGGGCTGCGTGCTGCCGCTTAACGGCTGCTGCCAAACGTTGCTGGCGCCCAAAATAAATGCAGCTACACACGATTTGTTGAATGCATGCGCCGTGAGAATATTTTCGAACCATCACCCATCGTACCATCTGCTGCTCGGACAGCAAGCAAATGTATGTACTCCGTTTGTACGTACAAACATCGCGTTCGGTGACGCGGCCACTGAAATCCGCATAACATTCTCCTGCAACTAACTGCTGTATGCATCCGTTCGAGATCGGGGCGACAAGTTTACAGTATGCCTGTGGATCACAACTGTTGTCTCGGAAAGGATGCTCAGCCAGGATAGGGTGTTTCACCCCTGCCGTCGTGCCGCCGCCCCGCAGCACGGCGGCCGTCTGGCTCGTTGTGGAACGCATGCCGCCCAAAATGTTGCAACAACAACTATTCTTCGCCTGATTGTCATCGTTCGCTACACAGCTCAATGTTAGGCCGACGTGGTGGGGGGAAACCTGTGTGTGAGCATTGCGCAGCGTTGCAAAAGGCTGTATGCACACACGGCACTTGCACGCAAGGTTCCTTGACTGCTGTTGCTTCATGATGTACCCACCGCCTACGTACTTGCTCTGCACCTACTTTAATGAAAGGAAGCACCGATCGTCGCCCGAGCAAGAAATCCTTCGAAGGATCGAGTGGGGTCATGTTTTTTCCCGTCTCCAAGCGATAAAGCAGTCTGTGCTCTGTCTAATAATCGTGTGTTGGTTGAAGGTACAGCAGTATTCTAACGACATTGTGACAACGTGACAGCTTTGAAGCCCCACACAATCGTTGAAGCCCCACACAACCAAAGCAGGGTATACATACGACCCCACCGCACATGGATCAGTCGCATCTCGCAAAATCCGTTCAGCAGGGTGTGTGAGTGTGCGTGTTTCATGGGAGGGTGTGCGTGCGATCAGCAATATATGCTGTGCTTGTACGTTGTATTCGTACTGCCGTCAAACCTACTTTGTGTGGGACCCCCCAACTATTTGACCTCTTGCTCCAACAAACATACAAACGTGGCTGTTTGGGGCTCCGGCGATGTGTCCTGGCATAGGCGGCAAAGTTGTGTGTGCTGTTGCTTCGCAAGAACACTACCGACTCTCCTGGGAGTAGATCCCTGCAAACTGTTTCTTGTCAAAGGCGGATGCCGACGTTGTCGATACACACCTGTAATAAAAGCCCTCACCGACCAGATTCTGTTGAGGTGGTCCTGAGGCACGAGTCAACAGCCAGAGTTTTCACAGTTCTTTACCACCAGCAAGCTGCAGCAGCAGTCGAGCACGCCACGCCACTTGGATGCACGACTGGACTGCTGTTGCCGTGCCAACGTCACCATCATTGCCCACCAGTTTCTCATGAGGAATCATTGTCGGAAGCTTGCGGTCCATCAGCAGACCGGACCATCTGACTCTATTCTACTCTGTATGCATTTCAGCACCTATGCATACCATACCGATCTACCGTGCTG